TGTAAATAAAATTTTGATAGCCTCTGTGTCAAAACTTTTTGAACCGCCCACGTATGTTATTATTAATCAGAAGATTAGCAAACTGGTTGTGGCATTATGGAAGTTTGGGCAAACTAAAAAAAAAACAGTGCAAATGGCGTTTAAAAAATGAGATAATCCTATTTTTTATTATTAATCAGTGACGAGCGATGTCTATTCTTGGCATTTAAAAATTTGGGGCAAACCTAATTTATTATTGGCGTTGATGTCTAATCTTGGCGTTTAAAACCCTAATTTCTTATTATTAAATTAATGGCGTTGTATAAACTTATTTAACGCACTAAACTTTACGTGAGGAATTGTGTTAGGAGAAAACAAGTTACAACAATTATGAAAATTAACATGTAAGCGGCGTTGATGGCACTCAACTTGTTTTAGTTATATAAACCTATTTAACGCAGTAAAGCTAATGTTATTAGTGTTGCGGAAATAGTTGTGACAGTTATGAAAATTTGGTTATTATACGAGCGAATTAACCCGCGCTTAGTAATTTTTTTTCTAACAATATATAAAAAAGATAAGAAGACAAAGCAATTTTGGAAGCGCGACTGCTACTATAAGCATCGATGCAATAATTGTAAAGCGTAGTGTAGTATATAAAATTAGACACGTACTTTTATGTATGTAACTAACCAAATAAGGTACATCGATGCTTATTATTATTAAGGAAACTTACTAAAGGGTGACCAACAATTATCGCAATTCTGTAGCACATAATCAGATAAGTAAAGAATAATGGTGTTAACTGATCAAATTTATTCTTTATCAGATACAAACTCAGCGCTATAACTCTACTCAACCAACATTACTCCAACACAACTTTATGCAAGTGCTTTGTAATGTAAAACTAAGGCACGCAAACTGCTGCTAATGTATCATTACTCTTTACAAAAAATATTATCAACAACAGAATGACCAACGGTAATTAATAAAATTTATAAATTAAAACATATACAAAACGTAAATGTCTCAGTCGATTACCCAAAATCCTAATTTAAACTTTTGAGCGATCGAAATAAGTCCCTTCTATGCCTGAATACTCGGTAAGTTAATTGATTATTTTAAACTTTGAGTGAGTTAACTAATATTCGATGATTGATTGCGAATATAAAGAGAATTAATTATAATCGGAAAAGTTGCATTTGTTTATGACGAAAAGCATTGTCCAAAAAATAATAAAATAAAATAAAAACTAAAAACAACAACACATTAATGGCACAGCAATAAGATACCGAAAAGTAATAAGAGCGAAGATAATATTTAATTTTAATAACTCAAAATTAAACAATGGAGACAAAGCGCACCATAAGTGCGTAATAAGTCTTTTACAAAAATATTTAAGCACTCTATTTTTCAAATTCGATGCTCCAAATCTTATACCCTACAAATATGCAAAGTCAAAGAACAAGAAGTAGGACAAACATTTCTCAATACTAACTCTTACCACATACATTAAATATTACTCAGTCGGTTAATTCCCTTTTTTTTTATTAACACTCATCTCTTCCTAAACTAATTACTTGGTATTTAATTTAAATTTATCGACGGCGTCAAAGCATCGATATTTGTGCGTGGAAACATTGATAAATATATGTAGTTAAACTTTTATAGTCAGATATTATGTAATGTTTTTTTCGGAAAGCTTGAAAATTTACTAGCTCAAATTAGCAAAAAAAAAATAATAATGATGCAAAACCCTCGACCATAATCTTGTGACTTGGTTGAAAAATTTCTCAATTAATGCTTGTACGTACGGGACAACAACAACTGCCGCAAAGCCAAAGAATTATACGCTATAATTACTCAAGTACGTATTTTCTGTAAAAGTTAGAATAGACTAATGAAACTAACAACTACCTTTGCTCTTCGAAAGAATTGCTTAACTACTCGTACTTTGCGTTATATTATATACATATTACGGTCAGCCAAGACACTTCTAATTATTGTAGTATAGTATTAGTTTTCTAGTACAGTAACATAATGATTACGATATTTCAGAGCAAGTATGTACACACGTTTGTGTTGGAGTATCCATAGTCAAATGTTAATTAGGAGCATTCTATACTGTACATAAATTGTATTTACTTTTTTGCTTACGATTTCAAGATGTTATATGCCAAATTCAATATCGATACAAATGTTCAATATAGAAAAATAATAATTTTTATTCGAACACTGCAATGCCATGTATCTTATTTGGTGAATACTGGAAATTCATATTATGTATCACTATTGCATTTCATTTCTATCCTGGTGACAGTCGGTTATACAAGCAAATTTCGCTTCAACAGAAAACCCGCCAATATAACAAATGAAGGCTATCTACCAAGGAATTATTTGTAATTTATGTCAGAAAGTCTGTGGCAAAAAATAAACGATAACTGAAGAAGGTGCTCGCTAAAGCCCAGCTTTTCTATCTACATAAAGATCATGGGGACGGATGCTATTGTGAAGCTATTCACTTGCGCGACAAATATTTACCAGCATTATTTCAAAGTTATCCTTTTAGGGTAGTTTTCGTCGGGCAAATGAACCGGACCCTGTGATGAGGATATGTATCAAAAGTCTTGGATAGAAGAACAATAGATAAGTATGTCATTAGGTTAAGTGATCTACATGGTGATTTATGTATCGGCTGTTCTAGCCGGTCAAGAGCTTATCAGGATCGATATCGGTGATGCAATTTTTCGCGCTGATGGTTAAGAAACAAGGGCAAGGAATCATCCAATGAAACTCTGTAATACACTTTCGCAGTAGCGATATACGTAATATGATTTATGATTGCTTAGTAATTTGGTGAAACTGCTTATTATTAAGCATTGTGTTACTCGTCTACCAAATTAAGAATAGCAACGAGTTGATCAGCTTGATTACCAATTCAAATGTTTTTTGATGTGATTAGATTAGTAAGAGACCTGATGCGCGGCCTTTATAATGTCAATAAACCAAAAACATCATGCAAATAACAACACTTATATCGTCAGTGCTAAGACAATGTTTAGAAGAATTTATATAGTTTATATACAATACTTATTATATGACAATTATGTGATAAAGATGTCGAGAAAAAAGATATCATTATTCAGCATTAGTTTCGTTGGATTACATAATGATCTACACAACCGAGTGTCTTTATTAGCCATCAGTTTGGTCATATATTCGATAATTTGCATTATCATTGACATCCGAAGAGTGCTCATATGGCGACGATATTAGCATATATATTTGTTGCACAACAAATTAAATATATTTACTGTGAGCGAGCCATTAGTATATAATTGGGAAAGACTCACTTATTATGTTCGGTATTATTTACAAAAATAAAGTAGTTTGTGATCGAATGTCTATTTTAAAGCTGACGTGTATCGTATACACAATGCTTTAGTAAGATACAACACTTATTATAATCCACAATAGTGCTCTCGTAACATAGCCTTTTAAATATATGTCGAATGTGAAAAGACATTACCATAGTTATATGGTAATGGATAAATAAAGTTATGTGCTTACATATCAGATAGTCAACATTCTTACTTAAAGTAATATATACATTAATGGAGTCGTCATAATCAAAGCGTATTTATTATACGTTTAATTGCGGTAAAGATTAAAAAACAATAAATAAGTAACAGAAAAATGTCTTATTTGTATAAAGATATTGTTGAAATGTACAACGTATAATATTAGTTTCAAGACTAAGGCAAATGTTTATAATAATAAAACATTGAATGCTTCGATTTAAAGTAATTGCTTTCACGAGTCAGCTTCCGTAAGGTTAAATCTCATAGGGTTACTCGTTAGGGTTTAATAAAGTTTTTTTTTTTTTTGATTCGATAGTGGGCTGAATGTATATTATTTGGGAGAGTAGTAAACTGTGTTATAAGCGACGAAATTCGAAAATTGAATATGTGCGGTGGATTAATACGTTGGGTGTTGTTGAAAGTAGAGTGTATTAGATAGATAATCTATCGAGTTTTTCACAGTCAGTAAATCCGGCATATTAGATACATAATGTCGAAGCAAATTATAGCGTGTAACATAATAATAACGTAATTGTGAAATATAGCTTGTATTTATACGTTTGTATAGCTATGTATGGTAAATACAGTAATTTCAGTTAACGAATTGTATATTTCATACGTGGATAATGACTGCGACGATTTAAGTAATTAATTAAGTTGGCGACAATTGTTATATTCGTAAGCGTGTCGTTTCTTAATGGTAGATTCTGTATATTAAAGGTGCGTAAAAAAATATATTGATACTATCGGTGTTTACCGAATAGTAATGATTTCCGTGTGTGTTTCGTTGCACAACATGTAATGCTCACAATGTTGAAGTTAAGTGCATAGTTTGGCAACTCTACAAGAAAGCATCATTTAAATATATTGTGCATATCATATAGTACAAACAAATCACTTTACATTCACAAGGAATCAATATTGTTGGTTATTTGTTTAACAACATTCACTACTATGAGGCTTGTCGTTCAATCCAGATATAGTAAGGCGGACGCCGGAAAGGTGGCAAGAATACGCAAGAGGTCAATATGATTAATCTGACGGATGTAATAGTAGGCGAGGTTCGTTATCTGAATTATCACAAACAATGCCATATTTATTATTGACTGTGTGTTCATACGACAGGATTGGTCTGCAAGTTGCTGCAGGATATACTGTATAAACAAAAGCCTTCTGCTTGTGCATAGTATAAAAATCCGTAATCGATGTCGTACTAACAGGTGCAATTAATTAAAGTTGGATTTTTAAACTATGCCAACCGTAAATGGAAAAACATTTCACACGGTATCCTGGAATTTCGGCAAAATAGTTTAGCTAGACAGGAATAACTAAGCCCCCGAACTGGATTTGTAAAAAGTATAAAATGAACATGTCGGGGTTGGGAAAAGGAAAAACAGCATATATCGCAACAATTATTAATATACATATAACTGATTTATCATGAGCAGCTCTCCACTCACAAACGTAACTGTCGCAGGAGGCACCGGAGTTTTGGGTTTTCACATAGTCGAAGCCTTGTTGAATGATGGATCTTTTAATGTGAAAGTTCTTCGAAGACTGCCGAAAACCGCAAATGAAAAAGCCGAGTTGTTGGCTTCCAAGGGTGCAGAAATTATCTACGCCGATTATAATCAGCATGATGATCTTGTCCAAGTTCTTAGTGGAACCGATGCTCTAATCAGTGCTGCAGCTCCCGGAGTAGCCAATGGCGGTTATGATTTTGACGCTCTTCAAACGCCATTGTTGAACGCTGCTAAGGCTGCCGGTGTGAGAAGATTTATTCCATCCGAATTTGGAACAGAGACTCAGTAAGTCTTGTCATTTTGATCTGCTCCTTGATCTTATCGGCTATGCTTTTTGTGTAAACGAATTGTAATAACAAATGTATTTTTTACCGTCTCGTCTGAAAAGACTTGGTGATCATCCAATGACCGATACCAAAGCCACGTTCCGTCAGAAGGTTAAAGAAAGTGGACTTGAGTATACTTTTATTATAACTGGAACTTTTGCAGAATATCTTGGTTGGGTTGGGTTTGATATCAAAAATAAGACCGCTAAATTCTACGTCGACGGCACTTCTGCATTGGCCGTTACCAGTTTGTCAGACATCGGCAAATATACTGCTGAGACTCTTAAATTGGAAGAAAGCCGCAACGCGACTATCAGGATTGCTGGTTCGATGTTTCCACTAAATGAGATACTCAAATTGTTTGAAGAAGCTACCGGTAAGTTGTTTTGTTTGTTTTTTTTTTTTTTTTTTGCATTTGTTGTTGAAAATTTTATGCTGAACAATTATTTATTATGTTAATTTGCATTAAGGCTCTAAATGGGAAGTTACCGTAGATAAAGAAATTAAACACAGATACGAGAATAAGATTGATCCGGTTCCCTCACAAATGGAAGTGTTTGTAGCCGCTATTTCAGAAAAAGGATCATTCGGAAATATTGATAATAACAAGTTTAGTTTTAGCCCTCGCCCTCTCGCTGACGATATCGCTGTAATTGTCCAACAGGCGTCTGGTTGATATATAAAGTCACAGTTGAACTTAAGACTAAGCCGTGCTATGTCCAGAGTACTTTCTCTAGCTGTTTGTCTTTGTATCTTACAGTGTAAAATGTAGAAAATTTCTCTTTTTCAGTGTTTATTGAAACTGTAATAAATTTGGTTGTTCTAACCTTCGGACGAAAACGAGTTTTGATGTCAGAGAATGTTGAAGCAATAATTCTATGCTGTTAGTTGTTTTGGTTTACGGAGGTTAAACATTTGCATAACAAAGGCTTTTTTTGTTAATGTAATTTTTCTTTTTCGGATTAATTATGCTGTAAGCCTATGTGACACTTAATGCAACGAATTAGGTGTTGTCACGCTTCTGCTGCTTTACTTGACAAAGCAAGTCATTGTTGTTCTGGTTTATATAATAGCTCTCTGCTTATTCTGGCTTGAAAAAATTTGTTTGTTTTTTTTTAAGTTACAAAATTAAATCGTTTTGTAATAGAGCTTGACGATAGTACAGGAGTAAAAAACTATTTTCCAGCATAACTTATCAAACATACAGTATTTCGGAAAGAATATCTATAACTTTTTGATCGACACCGAGTTAACAATATGACGTACAAAAGTAATGTCTTTTTACGAAAAGTGTCGAATATAAATAATATTATGCAAAAAAAAAAAAGGGGGGGGTTAGTTTAGTGAATGTCAGACTGGTAGCATTTGATATTCGCGTTTTACGATACCTCAGGGAAGTTAATATCCGTTTGGTACTTGGGACAGCTGATATCAGTCATACAGAAGAACCGCATAAATGTCTGAATAAGATAAAGTCAAATACAGCCTTTCATAATTTATCGTTATCATAAAAACTAAGTATGATAAACTTTCGTCAATTTGGGTTCTAACAGTCTAATAAATACTATGTCCGAATAGGCAGTTTACAATTGTAAATATAATAATGTTTTCGTAGAAAGCTTGCTTATGCCTGTATTATAAACTTGCTAACTAATTTGAAACGATAATGACTTAATGCCATCGTTTCTCATATCGATACTGTATCTCATTGACGTGTGATTTAGTGTAACAATAGTTTATCACATGCTTATTTAGTCACTACTCCGCTCCGGAGTGAGAGAGCCGCAACAAACATGACCTCAAGTCAGGAATGGTTAAGAAAGAATATTGACGATGGAAGCATTCGGTTTTATTCCTTTGATGACATTATTGACCAGGTGTACATTGATCATGGAGGATATGGCGTAGTTTTCAAAGCCGAAGTGAAATCACTTGGTAGAACGGTGGCATATAAGCTTTTGCATTCATATAATGATAAAGCGATGGAAAACTTTGTCAAGGAGGTTGGTAATAAAATTAACATCTTAAATTTTGAATTTATTGCCTTACTTAAACCCATCCCAAACGATACTTTAGCTTAAGATTCATCGCACCGTTAATCATCATCCCAACATAATTCAGTTTCTCGGAGTGAGTATAGGTAAGATTAAAACACATACAGACTACGCTTTATACGACGACATTTACTAAAATTTGATTAATAGATACGCTTAATAGATATGTAATAGTCTTTGACTACGCTAACGGTGGTTCATTACGATCTTACTTATCTGACCCGCCTGATGAACTGGACTGGCATACGAGATGCAAATTTGGTATCAATATCGCTAATGGCCTGGGTTATCTTCACGAGCGCCGTATTATACATAAAGATTTGGTAAGTATAAATGAAATACACAGAAGTGTTATCTGATCGGATGTTCTAACGATTGACGGTTTATTATCACTTAGACTTCACATAATATATTGATTCACAATGGGGTGGCGATGATAACGGACTTTGGTTTGTCTGACCCGATTTTACAACAAAGAACCAATTCAAACATTAAAGGAACCTTTCCATATCTTGACCCCAGACGCATTCTGGGCACCATTACTAAACATGATGAAAAGTCAGATATATTTAGTTTTGGAGTGGTTTTATGGGAAATCTCTAGTGGCAAGCAGCCATGTGATAAGCTCCAGACTTATGAGGATATTGCAATTTATAGACTACACAGTAGTCGAGACGCTCCAGTTTCAGGAACTCCTGAAGAATATGTTGCATTGTATTCGGAATGTTGGGATGATGCACCTGAGAAAAGACCATCCTGTGAGCAGATTGTTGATAGATTAAGCATAATAAGCCAATTGCCCATGGTTCCAACTTTTAATAGTCATTCATTTTCTGACCAGTTGTCAAGTATGTACCAAGAAGAATTATTAAAAGGAAGAATTCAACATCAGATTGCTAACTTGATTAGAGACTGGTTGGTACACAATGAACAGAATTATCTGGTAGAGAGGCTCAAGGATCATGTTGATTGTGGGCAATGTTGTTGGCTACTTGGGGTTTTTTATGAACATGGAATAACAGTTGGAAAGGATCTTAATCAAGCAATCTCCTGGTATGAATTATCAACAGGAAAAAATTATGTCTGTGCACAATACAATCTTGGCCATTGCTATCAAAATGGTATTGGTGTAGAAAAGGATGCTACAAAAGCATTTGAATTGTATCAAAAAGCAGCTGAACAAGAGTATGCTGCTGCACTGTATAATCTTGGTTACTGCTATCAATATGCAATTGGTATAGAAAAAGACATCAATAAAGCAGTTGAACTGTATCAAAAAGCAGCTGAAAAAGGTGATGCTGGTGCCCAGAATGATCTTGGCTACTGTTATCAATATAGGATTGGAGTGAAAAAAGACGTTCAGAAGGCTGTTGAATTGTATCAAAAAGCCACTGAGCAAGGGTATGCTGCTGCACAATGTCATCTTGGCTCTTGCTATGAAGGTGGGATTGGAGTAGAAAAAGATGTCAAAAAAGCATTTGAACTGTATCAAAAAGCAGCCACACAAGGAAATGCTACTGCGCAGTATAATCTGGGCTATTGCTATTGGCATAAAATTGGGGTAGAAAAAGATTCTAGAAAGGCAATTGAATTCTATCAAAAGGCTGCTGAACAAGGAAATGCCACTGCTCAGTATACTCTTGGTTTATTCTATGAGGATGGAATTGTAGTAGAAAAAGATGTCAAAAAAGCAGTTGAACTGTATCAAAAGGCTGCTGCACAGGGTGATGCTACAGCAAAACGGTGTCTTGAACATTATTATTATAATGAGAGAAAGGGTGTAGGTAAAAAGATTCAAAATTGGTTTACTTCAATGCTGTATGGCAACTGAATTTGATGTTGCACAATGTATTGATTGCTTTACAACCTTGTCAATGTGGAGTTGATATAATGATGAGCATGTTTATCTGACCTTGAGTAATGATATATTAGTATAACAGTTACACCATCATACAAAGAAAGGCAGTTCATATATTCACAAGAATTAAATTAAGTTTTCAGAGCACTATTTATATACTAATACAGTTGGAAAATTTGATTTGTCTGAAATATAATGATAGTCAAATTTGTTTCCACAAAGTGTAGAATATATATTGTTTACTTACAATACAGTTGATTATTAAGAGCTTTAAGTCACAAATTATAAATAAACAGCCTATATATATATTTGTCACAATTCACATTATAAACTTGCAGAGTTACACATGAACTGAGGCATTTTTTTAAATTTATCAAACTGCTCAGTTTATCCAAAAGGGTGAGCCAAACAACCAACCAACAATACCCGATCTATAGTAATAGTATAGTGCCTTTACTATTACATATTCATTGATTCATTGTTAGATGTCTGCTTGAAGTTGACTTAGTCAGAAGACGTGTTGTTTAGCATTTGTTGTAGACGTTTAATAAACCAAAATTTTCATTAACTTTGTCAATAGTTATACTTATCAAGTTGTTATTTTTACAAGTAACTTGTAATAATTACAAAAAAAATGTTAACAATTAAGATTTGGTTTATCTTCTGTGCCTAAGAGCAAAGCTTTTATTGTCCCCTATAATAAGTATTTGTCACGCAAAGAGGAAAATTGTAAAATATTTATTCAGTCGGATTTAAGGACAGTATAATGATAATTAGTATTTTGACAGTACACTTTTCTTTGGCAAAATATCGTATGCATCATGGCAAATGTTACAAAAAAGACACAATCGTCTTATTATTATGCAGTAATTTTGCAATCGGTTTTAACACAAATGCAAACGTGTCGGATATAAGTATAAAAACCAGAGATACTTTATTAACAATAATTTGTTTTAATACGTTACCGCATCCGTTAATATTTAATATTAACGGGTTACCAATACAAATAGTCTTTAAAATGACCCACAATTTGAAAAAAGTGTGAAACGTTTATGCTGGAGGTATTTATTTATTTTCAATAACAAGTTATATATTGCTTATTGTTAGAACTTTAATTTGTATCATTGACTTTCCTCGAAAAGCAATAATAATAAAAATAAAACGACTGCCAACAACTACCGTCGTTAATAACAAATAATAAAGACTTTCAAACAATGGCGAAAAAAAGAAATTGGCGAATTGGCGAATGGGAAATGAGGTAATTATGACATGCAGCAAGATTGTATAAGAAAAGATATGTAACAAAGATATTTGTATAAGATAATCATACAGGTTTTCAGACAAGTAGTAATTACAATAATTTTCAAAACTAATGATTTATTCCTCATAGTTATAAGTTAATAGTGTGATCTAATAAGATTTATTGATACCAATTTCAATAGCTAATTTCTATAATAATAATAGAAAGTTTAACATTAAATCAAATTTTGAAACTAAAAAAAGCCCCCAATCAACTAATTTAAATTTATCTGACGAAGGATTCGCTTTGGCTACTCCGCAAATCGACTTGACGATTATCAAACAATAAATTACCTTGTAACAATCTCCTTTCTTATTGGACCTTATACTTATATATATATATATGATTTTTCTTACATATTAACTAGAGTGAGAAGTAGTTAGGAGGCTTCGCCTCCCTTTATATTAATGTTAGTGATAAATTGAGAGATAATTTT